AATGCTGGACAGCAACTTTGACACTTGGGAAATTCTGGACAGCAATCTCCAACACTTGTATAAACCTTGGGCAACTGTTATTAGGCTGTTGGAGGCTTTTGAACAGCAATTTCAGACCTCCCAGGGTGCAGGACAGCAGTTGGTAACGGCATGGACAGCAAGATGAAAATTTGGAATTTCCTAGGCAATGTGCAGATTGTGCCCAGAAATCTGGACAGCACTCAGAAATCCAGTAGAGGAAGAAAACCAAGTGGTGGAAGGCTTGGGGAAAACAACTAGGGCTGAGGAGAGTTACGGGATTGATTGGGGAATTAATTTTAGGGAAATTAATGGGATTGGAGAGAGGTAGGGGGGCGGCTAGATGATTGGAGCTTGATTGGATTCAAATTAGGGAAGGGTTTTAATGGGAAAGGGGAGGAAAAGGGGGAGGCCCAGTCTTGCATGAGAAAATTAATTGGGATTTGAATTCTTTCCAATCATAGGTGATTAAATTTGGAAAGAGATTTAAAGGGAAACCTCTAATTAAATTCAGATTTGGGATAATAGGAAAGTTTCCAAATTGAATCCTTCTTAATTTAGGAAAGGATTCAAATTCAAAATAAATTTGAATTTGGAGTCTGAAAACTTTCCAAATTTAAGAGGATCTAAATTAGGTAAGCTTTCAATTCTTTCCTTAGAGGAGTCTTGGGAGAGAAAAGGAAGGTGGATGGGAAAGGGGCCGGCGGCATGGGGGTGCAAGGAGAGTTTATGGAAGCATTTAATACCTTCTTGATTTAAGGATTTAAATTTGGGAAGAAATAACTCATCCCAATTTAATTTAAAATTCAAATAGGAAGGGATTTGGAAACTTTCCTAAAATAGGATTTATATTTTAGGTAATAATTTCAAATTCAAATAGGTTTGAATTTGTAATTATTTGAGTTACCTAAAATATGTAGAGCTAATTTAGGAAAGTTGTAATGGCAATTGATGAGGGAGGAGAAAGCAAAGTGGTGGCTGACGGTTTGGAATAGGGTTTGGTTAGGGTTTGTGGGTTGAATGGTTTGGTGGTGGGAGTTGGCCAGCGACAAGGTGGATTGTGGTTAGGGAATCCGGCGGCTAGGAGGTTGGGGTTTGGATGGGGATGTTGGTGGCTTAATGGGGAAGGAGGAAGGGAAAGGAAAAGGAATGAAAGAAAGGTAAAGGAAGAAGAACCACGAACCCCCGGCCGTCTCCAAGGTTGGTGGGTGATCCGATTTCCCTCCCTAGGAATTTCTCCAAAGCTCTCTCCAATGAACACGTGCAGGAATTTTCTTAGATTTCATTCATTGATTCTCAAAGAAGAAGAGGGGGGCTTTAAATAGCCCATACAATGAGAAAATAAAAAGTACTACGATGTGATACAGGACTATATGTGAAACAAAAAACTTGCACAAAATAGTTAAAGAGCAATTTTGGATTTTCGTTATTAGCAACTAAAACAACAAAATAAAACTAATAAGTGGTCACTTTCGTTTAGACTAAGCCATGCAAGAGACTAAGCGAAATCAAAACATTTAGGAAAATCAAAGCGTTGCATGCGAAGTAGTTTCCAACATAACCGTGGCCTAACAATGAGATCCAAAAGCAAAGAAGTAACAATCCTACGCTTACTAATGGATGACGATAATTAAACACAATCACTTGCTTGAACAATCTCTCTACGAAGTAAGTAGAATGTGAAAGTACACGAGTCAAGGAAGAAGGTCACCTTCGCGGAGAAACGTCTTGATACACCACGTACCTTCGGATATGTGCTCCTCCATAGCCTTGGTCAAAACGAATAGTATGTGGTCGACGGACTTTCTATGGATCCTTCAATGCTTGGATTCACGTCGAAGAACGACAATTTGAGAAGATCCACGAAACCTTGGCCGTAGTAGGCGAAGCCGGAATCAAACTCCGGATCGGTCATACATCATAATCATGCAAGGGGAGAACTCGAGAGAAAAGAAGAAAGAGGGAGATGGAGGTGAGGTGGGAGGCTGGCGGTGTAGGGAGGTGGGGAAGGGCTAGGGTTTGAAAAGCTTGGTTGGATGGAGGTGTAAGGATTCTAATTTCAAAATCTGAAAATTAAGTTCAGATTTTTAGTAAAAACAGAGGGAATTAATTTGAATTTGGATTTCAAATTAATTACAATTATTGGTCTTGATTGAGCATTAATGGAGGGGGCCCAAGTAGGGGTGTAAACGAGTCGAGTCGAGTCGAGTTTTGGCCCTTATCGAGCTCGGCTCGTTAGATAGATAGCGAGCTCGAACTCGAGCTCGACTTACACCCCTAGGCCCAAGCAAGGGGGTGCCGGCAGCATGGAGAGAGAGGGAGAGAGGGTTTTGTGGAGAAGTTTAAATCCCCTTCCTAATTGGTCTCTTTAATTTAGGAGAAGAAAAATTTCGCCCAAATTAAATTTGAAATTAATCATGAATGAGATTCAATACTTTCCTAAAATAGTTCTCTAATTTAGGAAACTATTTGAAATTCAAATGATGAAAATAATTTCCCAAATTATTTAAACTCTTTAGGTAAGCATTAAGGAAGCATTAACTCCTCATTCATGGAGGCAAACAAGGGTGGCCGGCGGTGTGTTTGGCTTGGGTGGGGCGGGTGGAGGAGCTAATGAAGAAAAGGGATCGTGTTGGTGGTTAGGTCGACGGTGGGTTTGGGGAGATGGGGTTATGGAGTGAGATCGGCGGTGGAGATGGTTGGTGATGGTAGTGAGGAGAAGGGAGAGGAAAAGGGAGGAGAACTAAGAGCCACCGGTGGTGACTATTGGGTACGACGGGTGGCCTCTCCTAGGTTCCACCAAACTCTCAAACTTCTCTCAAGCTCTCACATAAGCTTCAAGAACACAAATGCAGAAAAATTCTTCATAATAATTCATTAACCTCCAAAAGAACAAGATGAAGGTTTTAAATAGCCTTTACAATGACTTAAAAGGACTCAAATATCCTCAAGGGGCTACATGACTCAATCCCTCAAGCGTGGGTAAAAAGGGAAAATGCTAAAATAAAAACAAATACATCAATAAGTAGACAATAATAAAATCAAAAGTACATCAGATAAATTGTGGCCGTTGATCTACGGCCACGTCGACGGTAGACTTTCCAACTGATGTCCCCATCACAATGGCCTTAGGGCTTACACATACTTAAGCCCTTAAGTAATGGCAAAAAAGGAAAAGCATAATAAACTTCTTAAAATAAAAATACATCAATCATAAATATGAAAATCATAAGTAGCATGATGTAATCGTGGTCGTTGATTGACGACTACATCTCTAGTAGATTTTCCATGTCTTGATGCCCTCATGATAAGATGATATTGATTATGATGATGATCTAAACATTTTGTTGCTACTCTTGAGAAAAGTATAAGCACTTGCTCCAAATACACGACTAGTTATTATATTTCGCACGATGAATTATTTCCTAAGCTTTTTGCATTTACTAGAAATCTTTCAATTTTGGAAATTCTAAACATTATTCAAAAAGCTTTTCAGTAGAAATGCAATTCATGACTAAATTTAGGCCTTCGAAATAAATGGTACTAGAATCTTTCACAAAGTTGTTTGATGCAAATGAATTTTTAATTTGAAATACAAGTTGTATGGAAATGTTTACCAAGAAAAGCAAGACTTGTGGCAAAATGTTTCACATAAATCTATGACACTTTTTATCAATAAACATGTATGTCGCTGCTATGATAAGAACTACTAGGGTAAATTTCTCTATTGCTATAAATTTAGATTGGTCACTCTGATTAGATGTAATAAAACACATTCCTAAATGGGGATCCAAAAGATGAAGTTTATACAACAATGCCTCCTAGATTTGAGTGTAAGAGCAATACAAACCAACTCTCTATACTTAAAGAGTCCTTGTATGGTTTGAAATAATCATCAAGGACTTGTTGACAGATTCATCATGATTATTAAAAGACATGGCTATTCTCATGGATAATCTATCCACACTTTACACAACATAAAATCATCTGAAGGTAAACTTTCTTTTTTGATTGTGTACATAGACGATATCATATTGATGTGGGACTACAAAGAAAAAAATGAAGTGTATCATTACTAAAGAATTTGAAATCACGGATCTTGCTTTATTAAAGTACTTTCTTGGAATAGAGATATCAATGGAAAGCAAAGGAATATCCATCTTGCAATAGAAATACACATTGAATTTATTGAAGGGAACTGTTATGCTTGGTTGTAAACTTGCAAAGACAATAGATCCATTAAATAAAATTGGGATAGTGTAAGTTCTAATCCCGATTGACAAGGAGAGGTACAAACGGCTGGTAGGAAAATTTATCCACATATCTCTTACTAAGATCTGATATTTTCTCTTTTGTCGTGTTAATCAGTTTATGAATAATCCCTCAAAGGAGCACTTGGATGTCATATTCAGAATACTAAGTTATTTCAAAAAGGCATATGGGAAAGGGTTATTTTTAGAAAAGGGGATTAGCACAAGTATCAAAATCATTAATAATTTTGACTGGGATAGATTTTTAATTGATCAAAAATCCAAGTCTAGTTATTGTTCTTTTATACTAAAAAATTTAGTTACATGGAGATACAGAAAAGAAAGCTTGTGGCAACTAGGAGCAACGTTGAAGTAGAATTCTGGGTCTTGACCCTGAGATTTTTGATGGTGTGTAACTTAAACATCATCTAGAAGATTTAATCTTTTCCTCTACGGAACCTTATGATAATGGGTGTACCAACGGAGTAGTTTTTAGCATTTTTAAGAACTCTATTCATCATGATTGTACTAAGCATATTGGAATTGATAGACACTTTATAAATCATAAAGTTGATGAATGAGTAATTTAAATGAGTTACTCCGATAAATATTGTGACTGTTCATATCCTTGTTAAAGCTCTTGATCAATCATAATTTAACAACCTTCTTTAAAGCTACAAATGATCACTATATGTTCACAGCTTGAATGGGGTTTGTAAATCCTGATTCTAGGCTGCCTTGGCAATGTGCATCATTTGTGGCCTTCCAGTTGGCTCCGCTAGCCTTGCAAGCACCTGCTTCATTGTATATAATGCACGTCAGCCATATGATCAGTTACCTTGGCAATCCGCCACTCTCTTACCCTTCGTTAGCAATCCACCAATCACTATTTTCTTTTGCAGGATGACTTTTCGAATCCTGAAATGATTGTAATTAATTAGGTTAATTGCTTTCTTATTTTTTTTGTGGGCCATATTTCTCTCATAAAAAAATTGTAGTATTGCATCTATTCTACCTATTAAAATTGCAATCTGCTCATATTTTTCAACAAGAATCATTCACCATAAAAGATAAAACACTAAAGGTGACCTTCATAGGTTCATGAGGTGGCTCTCGCAATGCAGCACGTTGTCTCAAGCACATTGAAGAGGTGACTTCTACAGTGTAGCATTTTGTTTTATATGGTACTTAGCTCCTGTCCTCTGGTTGATGCATGGCTATCATGCCATTTGTCATAGTTTAAACTCTTATCTGTTGGTTTTATGCTTTTGCCTAACATGCCTCGTTGTTGTATTCTCTCTATGATACTTTCTTGGATGTAACCCATTATAGTAGTGCTCCGGCATGAAGATATTAAAGAATTTTATGATACACTAATCATTATATTAAAAAGAGCCTTAATGTTTAAGAATTTTGCTTTAATATAGTTGAGGGATCTTACAGTGAGAAACTGGGACATTTCATCTTGCAGGAGATGAACTTAATTGCTTGATTTAGAATATATGCATTACCTCTGCATAGGCTTATCTATTGCAGAAAACCAACCTTTCATGCTACAGTAGCTTTTTGCGGTTTATCGTAGAAAGATGTAAAAATATGAAATTCTTGGTTTTATGTGATTCACTTTTAAATCCTCTGAAATATTCTAAGTTGTTGAAGAATCTTTCATTTCTTTCAGGCTGCTAGGATTGCATATGGTGAGGATAGAGAATTTCGCCGTGTTGTGTCCCTTGAGGGAGCGTTATTTGAGAAGTCTGGTACAATGAGTGGCGGCGGAAGCAAGCCGCGTGGTGGCAAGATGGGAACATCAGTCAAAATGAGTGTTTCTGGCGACGCTATTGTTGCTGCCAAGAAAGAACATTCTGAGTTAGAGGATCAGCTAAAAATATTGCGTCAAATGATCAATGATGCTGCCAAACGTTATCAGGCCTGTGAAAAAACTGAATCTCATCTTGAACTGGAACTGGCAAAGAGTCAAAAAGAGGTAGCAGGTCTATATTTAATGTTTACTTGGTGGCGCTTTCACGTTAATGATGTGTTGGTTTTCCTTTCAAACAGGTGGATAGTCATGCTACTCAACATAGTTACATAGAAAAGCAGCTTGATGCCTTGAAGGCTGCTGCGGAACCAAAAAATGATGACCTGAGTAGGCTCAAGGAGTTAGAAGATATTATATCTGCTGAGGATAAGGAAGTGAACAAGCTTTCCAGATGCTCTAATAAACTTAAAGATAGAGTAAGTAATACTACGTGAATCATCATCTTCTATTCTTCTTGTTGTTCCTTGAAAATTCAGGATTTGCAATTTTGAGTCTTTTTTAACTTTTTCTTCATCATCACTATCAGCCCTCTACCTCAAGTATAACAGATAGTCTCTCATGAATCCACCGATCATTGTTGGAAGGGTCAAAATTTGTTGTCTATTGTTAGTTCTTCTCATTCTAATTTATAAAGTTGTAGGTTTGTCCTCTTTCTTTGTAAAGGACTGTTATTCCATTCTTGATTGTTTTTAAAACTGCTTTATGTGCCTTTTGTTTTGATCAGACTCAAAACAAAATAATGGCCTCCATATCTATAAGTCCTTTACATATGTACTTATATTTCTCTGCTTATGTGCTCAAAGGCTACGGAACTTCAGAATAAAATAGAAAATGCTGGTGGTGAAACACTAAAAAATCAGAAGATGAAGGTCTCAAAAATCCAATCTGTAAGTGAATATTTATGCTGCTAACCAGGTTTTTTTCCTTACGCTTTTTCTAATGTTTCAAATATTATTGTTAGGACATTGACAAAGCTGGCAGTGAGGTTAACCGGTTGAAGGTTAAGATAGCTGCTGGTGAGAAAATGACAAAGAAGTTGACTAAATCAATTGAAGAGTTGAAGAAAGATAAAGAAAATCTGATTGATGAGAAGGAAAAAATGGAAGCTGCTTTTAAGTTAATAGAGCAAAAGGCATTTGAGGTTCAAGAAAATTATAAGAAAACTCAAGCGGTACTTCATACTTCTTTTTTGCTTTTTGCTTGATATCAGGCAGCATGCTGGTTACTATTATTGATTCTTGGATATCTTTCAGCTCATTGACAAGCACAAGGATGTTTTGAATGAAACAAAGGCGGAATATAATAAATTAAAGAAAGGCTTAGATGAACTACGTGCAGCTGAGGTTTTTTCCCTTTGTTTCAGTGCAACATTTTGTTGTTTCTTAGCGGTTGAATCAGTGTTGGTTCTCATTGTCAACAGGTTGACAATGATTATAAATTGCAAGACATAAAAAAGGTGTTGAAAGACTGGGAGATGAAGGTAAAAGGTTTCAAGAAAAGGCTTGATGATATTGAGAAAGATTTAGGAAAACAATTGGATCAGTGAGCCGCATAATTTTTTTTGTTCAGTGCTTATATAACTTATGGTTACAGCCTTCTGGAAATTTGAATGATCCGCATCTCACAGGATGCAAAGCGATGCTATTGATCCGGAAAAGCTGCAAGAAGTTCTCACAGATGGTTCAATGAGTGATGTTTGTGATCTCAAAAGAGCAGCAGAAATGGTGGCATTGCTAGAAGCTCAGTTGAAGGACATGAACTCCAACTTGGATTCAATTTCCGAGTATGCATAGAAAATGGAATGCAAAGTCAACAAATTAATTTTCCTTTTTAAATATCTTCACTTCGCTGTTATGCTTTGCAGATACCGGCAGAAGGCACTATTGTATAATGAACGTGTGGAAGAGCTTAATGCTGCAACACAGGAGCGGGATGATCTTAAGAGACACTATGATGGGTTGAAGAAGAAAAGGTTAGTAGAATTATAGTATGGATTTCCGAGTAATTTTGTAAATTTGATGAGCTTTCTTTTATATGACTATAGTAACAGAACATGCTCTTGAGTTTTTTTCACAGGCTGGATGAATTTATGACAGGATTCAACATTATATCCCTGAAGCTGAAAGAAATGTACCAGGTTTTGCCATTGGAATATTGTGAAAGCTATTTGTTGATCTTCAATTATTTATCCAGATTTCTGTTTTTATCTCCAATTTAATCGTTAAACGCGTGTCACTGTTCAATAAAGCTCCAAATCGATAATGAAACTTTCCCTGCAGATGATCACTCTCGGAGGTGATGCTGAACTAGAGCTTGTTGATTCTCTGGATCCTTTCTCAGAGGGTGTTGTTTTCAGCGTGAGGCCCCCAAAGAAGAGCTGGAAGAACATTGCCAATCTATCTGGGGGTGAGAAGGTAAGTTTAGGTTTATGTGCATAACACACTAATAATGTTATTCTCATTTTTGGCGGTATATACAATGTGTCTGTCTTAAGGGAGTTTTTTTTTTTAATATTTGTTTTCTGAATTTTTCTTGCTTTTTTCGCGGTACTTTCGGCTAAACTTTTTTAGTTTTTTAAAACTATAAAATTCATTTTTTTCCTCTTTAAGCTGATTTGCATAATTTTCTAATATCATTGCAAGATATGCACTGCACTAAAGAACCAGAGTTGCATAATCTTTTGGAAAAGTCGCCAGTGAGTACTATTTGTGGTGTCAAAATGGATTTTCGGGTTAGGATCAGGTCATACTTAGAATTATCTTGGGACTAAACGGGTTGACCCAAACTCGACCCGGTTTTATAAATGGTTGAAAATTCAGAGCCAGACCCAACTCGCCGGTTGCTGGGTTGACCCGACCCAACCCGCGAACTCGGACATGATAGGCTCGCTGAGGTGTGAACCCTGATTGCTGGCTGCGGAGTTAGGACGTGAGGCAAGCGGTCAAGCAAACCACTAGATGGTCCTCTGGTGTGGGTTCCCTACAGGTGGTTCCTTTTGGACTAACCACCAAATCCCCTTTCTGGAACTTGGTGCAGATCATGGGAAAGTCGATTCGGCGGTTGTGGCTGAGCCGGATTGTTGGTATTGGGGAGAGGATTCCGGAGAGGCGAGAGATGGAATAGGTGACGGTTGGAATATGGCGGCCGAGGACCATGGAGTTGATGATGGGGTCCATCAGAGTTTAGTGGGCACAAACGAAGAGGACGCCAATCTCGTCGGATGCAGAGGGGAAGGAGGGAAGGGGTGGGGGGCCGCGGATGATGACCTTGCCGTCGAATGGGCAGATCATGTAAGGGATCAGGGATGACGAGGTCGACCGTGATGCGGATGAAGGCAGGGAGTCTGGAAGCGATGCAAGCGTGGGAGTGGCGGGACAGTTCTTGGTGGTGCATTGCGGAGTTCGGAGTTCGACGTGAGGCGAGCGAGGTAGACGAGCTTTCCAGGTCAACCCAGATTGACTTTGGGTTTTTGGGTCAACCCGAACCTAACCTAGTTTTATAAATTGGTTGAAAAACGAAACTCGAACCCAACCTGTCTGACAAACGGGATGACCCGAACCTAGAATTTTTTGGATCGGGTCAAATATTGACACGCCTAGATCATATATAATTAAAAATTAGATAAATCTATTTTTTTATTTTTTTATTATTGAATAGATAAACTAATTAAATATTATTAGCTAAAAATTGAATATTATTTATATTATAAAAAATTAATTAAAATATGTTAAATATAATTAATTGATTTAGTTATTTAAATGATTTAATAAAATAAATTTGTTTTGAAAACTGGCACCAGTTAACTGGTCAAACTTTTGGTTCAATGCTGTTCAGGTTGGTTCGTTGTGAAATCGGGTTGGTTGATAGACCGGACTCTAGTTCAACCTGTTGAACTAGCTGCTCCGGTCCTGTTTTTAAAATGTTGGAAATCTGGGACTTTATTTGAAGCTTTTATGCTATAAGCGGAAAAACCAAGCCTGATATAGAAGGGGTGCACTGGCGCCCATGCTTATCTACATAGAAGTGTAAATAGCCATATATGTTTCATTGTACTATGATGATAAGGTGTTTGCGAGGATTCCAAGTCAGAGCAAGATTTGAAACGTTAATGTTTTTTCTTTTCCAGTTGATTTTGCGACTCTTCTTGAACTGGTTCTTTTCTGGTTTAATTCAGGTTTCTATGGCTAAAGATCTTCTCTTTAAAGCATCACTATGAATAAAATGTTCTACGATTTAGTAAATTTTCTTTCTCCAAAAATTGAGGATGCCTGAAAATTGTTGTGAAGCTTCTGGTCTAAATGTTTCTGGTTTTTTTAGTCAGGTAATATGAATTAGAACATTTTTCTTCGCTTTGATAGTATTAGAAAGAATAAGTGATTAAAAGTTATATTCTGTAATTAGTTTTATTAGACTACCGTACTGTACTTTCTTTAAGCATTTCTGTATATTTACTTCTTTACCAATAGACCAAAGGTCTATTTATATATCCATCCTGTACTCTGTAAGTAGTAAGGGAGATAATATTTTCTTTCTGTTATTCTGCAATGTCGTGCTTTCTCTTTCACAATTCTGCTCGTTTCTCTCTTCTTCTCTGATCTCAACCTTTCTCAAGAAAGCTGCTCAAGATTCAACGTTTTCATCATGGTATCAGAGCAGGAGTAAAGAAAAGCTCTGAAACATCACAGATAGAGGTTATGGCCAGAGCCAATATGCTCCTTAGTGGCATCAAATCCTTGAGATATGAACTAATAGGATATGATCGATAGGGCACAAAGCCCTCTGTAGCTAAGGTGGATTCAAATTTGTCCACTTAGACAAACATTCAACCCAGGTCTACGAGGTCCCCTTGTACGAAGCAACCCATGGCTGCCGACAAGGATCCTTCTGTCAGGTTGGGTCGACTACCTCCTCTGACTAAGTAAACTAGGGACCACGATGGCCCGGGATGATGGAACCATGGGATCTTGGTCAGGTCTATCATCCATTCCCCCACCATCGGCTTTAAGTACAAGATGGTGCAATTTCTATTTTAAATATCAAATTTTCCAAACTTACTAAATATTTCAACCCCAAGTTTCCAAATATCCAATCTTTCCAATCCAAACCCATTGCTGCTACTATACGCCAGATGCCACGTATTCTAACATATCTGATTGACGACTAGCCTTAATCGAAAGTTCTCTCTCGTTATTGAGAGGGGTAATTAACTATAGTTGCTTGCACCTATAGGAAACCAGAACTCAGATTATAAAGTCCTCACCAAATGAGGGCAAAAACTCTGGGTAGTGTCTTATCTACAAACCCATCTGCCTTCCAAAATTTATCCCGAAACTTATTCCGTTAAAACTCCCTCGCCGAAAGATAAAAGCAAATCAGCTTGGCGGGGAGGCCAGGGCTGAATTTTTGGAGCCCACAAAAAGCACCGACCATAATGTTTTACCTATGGTGTCATTTGACAGCAAAATCACTGTCACATGTCCTTACAAGTAGAAGATTGGTTGAAAATGAATCTTAGTGATAGAAATTAGCTCAGTAAGTTGAAGTTATTCTCAAATTTATTATCTTTGGCAATTAGTTGCGGAGGGTTGACGAATTTTGCTTTAATTTTTAAGAGGTTAACTTCACAAGAGTATTTTAAATTTTGATAGATATTGAATTTTGAATTTTTACTAGAACTTGCATCTCGAGTGATTAACCTTAGAATTTTGGGGCATTTTGGAAAGCATGTAGTTCATTCTAGTTAAGACTTTCTATCAACACGACAATCATCGTGGAGGCATTGAAGCCACTTAAGATATTTGTAGCTGTTAAATTTAGAGAATTGGATGGAGAAAAAGCTTAATTTTATTGCACAAAATTATTCCTATTTATAGATCTATACAATATATCTTAATAAAAAAACAAATAATTATGAAATCATACATAATTTTTCTAATATAATCCTTCCTAAATCAGCCACCTAAATATGGAAGGAGATCGACGTGATCTAGGTGAGCCTCCCACAGATTAAGTGTCAAGGGACAGTTGAGATTTAACAGAGATCGGCATGATCCAGGTAAGCCTCCCACAGATTCACATCCTGACCGTGCGATCAAGTGTCAAGGGACGGCTGGGATTTAACATGCGCCCTCAAGCTGGGGAATCCAAATCTGTCATTCCCAGCTTGGTACTCAGTGCTAGAAAGATAAAGTTATCGAGTCCCTTGGTCAGAATGTCTGCAAGCTGATCTTTTTATGAAATGTCTGTCCACTTCTATGAGCTTGGTCCTATCATGAATATTGATTGCTAATTTATTGTCATAGTGTAGCTTCATGGATCATTCCCACTTGATTCTTAGTTCTTCTAGAATCATCTTGACCCATAGTAGCTCACATATTCCCAAGGTCATAGCTATGTACTATGCTTCTGGACTAGAAATTGCCACCACACTCTGTTTCTTGCTCCTCCATGTAATGAGATTTCCTCAAAGGAATGTGCAGTATCCTGAGGTAGATTGTCTATTTACTAGTGATCCTATGTAATTTGCATCAGTATATGCTTATGGGGTTATTCCATAGTCTCTTCTGAAGAGAATTCCTTTATCTTAATTCCCTTTAAGGTAGAGCAATATTATATCTACCGCTTACATTTGAGTCTGCTTTGAATTTTGTATGAACTGGCTGACTATTCTTACAGCAAAGGCTATATCTAGTCTGATGTGAGAAAGATAGATCAATTTCCCCACAAGTCTCTGGTAAGCACTCTTATCTACGTGTGAATCTTCTTTAGCTTCCCCCAATTAGAGATTTGGTTCTACTAGTGTTGGTGCCAGTTTACAAGCCAGTTTATATGTTTCTTTACGAATATCATTTATATATTTATGTTGTGAAATTAAATTTTCTCTGCTTGAGTCGGCCACTTCAATTTCAAGAAAATATTTTTATCTACCAAATTCTTTGATCTCAAACTCCTTGACAATATATTTTCTTAGAATCACTTTCTCATTTTCATCATTTCCAATTAATATTATATCATCCACATAAACTAATAAAATGGTAACTCCCCCTGAGTCTGAGTGCTTGAAGAATAATGTATGTTCCACTTGGCTTTGTCAATATCCATTGAGTAGCATAACTTTTGAGAATCTTTTAAACCAAGCTCTAGGTGACTGCTTTAGCCCACATATAGCCTTTTTAAACCTACACAGTCACCTCTAGATTTTTGTTGAATCCTACTGGAATTTCTATAAATATTCCTTCCTCCAAGTCCCTGTGTAGGAATGCATTTTTGACATCCAGTTATTCCAGATGTCAATAATAATTAGCTGCTAGTGAGAGCAGGATCCTCACGGTGGTCATCTTGGCCACAGGTGCAAAATCTTCCTAGTAGTCAATGTCGTACGTTTGAGTGTATCCTTTCTCTACTAATCTTGTCATATATATTTCTAGTGTACCATTAGCTTTATATTTCATAGAGAACACCCATTTGCAGCTGACTGGTCATTTTCCTATTTGGTAGGTTGGTGATCTCCCATATATTGTCCTTTTCTAGGGCCTGCATTTCATCTTTCAGAGCACTTTTTCAATTTTCATTAGATAAGGCCTCAAAAATGTTATTAGGAATATGAATATCATTTAATGTGACCAGGAAATTTTTATGTGAAGGTGAGAAGTAATGAAATGATACAAAGTTGGTTATGGGATGAACATGAGGTTTTTTTGGTTAACTTGTGTTTACATCAATTTCAGAAGTCTGTTCAGATTCTTGGATCTAGTCTAGAGCATAGTTTGGAGTTGTACAACTGGAATATACTTTTTCAAACCTCATGTTATCCATAATAGCTTTGTCCTCAATTTTCCTGACTTCATTTTCAGGTTTAGGTTGATTGGATTGAGGTAAAGCTCAAAGGTCAAGAGGGGCAAGCCCACTTTCCTCATCTTCCTCAGTTTCAGCCTCCCCCTAAAAATGAGGTTTGGAAAAATAGGATTTTTGTTCGTCAAAAGTAACATCAACAGATACAAATGATTTCTTTGTGGAGGGGTGATAACACTTCTAATCTCTCTGGGTGGATGAATATCCCACAAAGATACATTTGAGTGCTCTTTGATCTAATTTTCTTCTATTTTGATTGCGAATATGAACATAGGTAGTGCAACAAAAGATTATGAGTGTGAGGTTATTATGAGTTCAAAATTCAAGATAAAAAAATGATAGAATATCCATTTGTATTTTTAGTCCCAAAGTTATTGAAGGTATTCAATTTATGAGATATGTGGCCATCAGAAGGGCTTCCACCAGTAGGATTTGGGTACATTATGGTGGAATAGAAGTGCATGGTAGAGGCAAGAAGGTGGCCATTTTTACTTTTACAACTCTATTTTGTTGTGGGGTAAAATTGTAGGAAGACTCATGAATGATACCTTCCTTTTAAAAGTAGGAGGATTAAGTTTCGTTAAAGTAATCTTTGGCATTGTCAGAATAAAATTTTCTTATTTTTATCCGAATTGACTATGGATCATGGTGTGAAAAACGGGAATGATAGTGCTAACATCATATTTGTTTTTGAGAAAGATCGAACAAACTCGAGTGAAGTTATCAATGAATGATACAAACCAATGGGCCCATGAGATGTTGTTAATTTTATAGGGTCCCTAGATATCACTATGAACAAGGTAGAATAAGGTATAACATCTCTCATTTTTGTTTAGAAAAGAAACTCGCTTATGCTAGACTAACTCATAGGTTTCACAATGAAAATATTCATTCTCTAACTTATAAAACTCAAAATTTCAGTAATGGCAATGAAGGCTCTGATACTATGTTAAATTTAGAGAATTGGAGAGGGAAAAAACTTACTTTTATTGCACAAAATTATCACTATTTATAGATCTATACAAGATATCTTAAAAAAGAAAAATAATTATAGAATCATGCATAATTGCCCCACTATAATCCTCCCTAAATCAACCACCCAAATATTGAAGAAGAATGGCGGGATCTAGGTGAGCCTCCCACGGATTCTCATCCCAGCCATGGGATCAAGTGTCAAGTGACATATAAGATTTAACAGAGATTGGCGTGATCCAAGCGAGCCTCCCACGAATTCCCATTATCATCGTTGACTATTTTCATTTTGGCATTTGAACCTCATTAACTCTGCCACTTGCTGGTAGAGGATTGAATTCGATTTGAGTTCATGTGATATTTCAATAATAGTCGTCTGATTTGAATCCAAGAGAATTCAGTCCAAATCAATTTACTTACAGTCTGATTTGAAATATGTTGAGGAATTTGAAAAAATACTGGATTATGATGTAGAACAGTTGAGGCATAAATCAATATCTTTTGTGAAGATTTTATGAAAACATGGAACATAAAAAGATGCCACATGGGAGAGAAGCAGAAATGAAAAGTCAATATCCTCATCTCTTTAACTACGGTATGTTTCCTTCTACTTGATTTAATTTCGATGACGAAATTTTTATAAGGGAGATTGTAATATCCGGTTTAAGGCTGGGCCGGTTCAACCGAACCGGGCAACCTCTAATCAAAGCCACAACCCCCCG